GAGAATCAAGAGCCATGTAAGAATCTCTAACACACGCGCAAATACCTGTTTGTGTAAGAGAAACCGGCAACTGCTGAGTAAGTGCAAAAAAGATAATATCTTATCATACACGGTGTACAATAGGCGTCTATGACTATTCAAATATGATCTTGGTAAATGACAAAGTATAAGAACTAACGAGTTCTTATACTATGTATAAGGGTAAACACACACACACATACCTTCTGCACGTTGACGGAACACTGTAGGTCGGGCGGGTAAACAGATGGATAATTGGGGGACTTCCAGTGGATGGCAGTCGACATCTCTGAGATCGAACACTGGCTGGCGATGGCAAGAGTCTTACATCCACATGGATTGCCAAGTTTTATGAAATTATGTATGTTCTCCATATGCGTAGGAGGGAATTTTGAAGTGGGGGGGGGGGGCAAAGTGGGTTCATCCCAAAATAGCCTGGGGATTGCAGACCCTTGGCGAGGTCCTGGGGGTGGTGCCCCAGTGTTTGGCCAAAGGTCGAAGCCCCCAGAAGCTCCTGGATTTTAGCAGCTTTAAAGAGACAAACATTGATTTCTGGACTAGGATGTCAGACATTTTTATTTAGATTATACTTATCATGGTAATTTCACACTGAACACCAGACGCCGTTGTAGCTGCCCTCTCACTTGCAGGGGTCAGTATTCTCAACAACTGGGTAACGAAGGAATTGCACTGTCTGTTTATTTACAGGGTATGTCCTCAAAATTGAGGAGTTGGGGGCAGAAGTTGGGTCCCGCCCCTCTGCCCCCCCCCCTTTTTCCTGCGCTTATGTTCTTATAATTCCAGTGCATAAATGGATGACCAAAAGGGAAATCTTACAGTTAGAGAAATCCACTTAGAAGAATTAAGAGATATTCTCGTTAATCGAACAACGAAACAGAATCGTGGAATATTCGAACGACTCTGGTGCGGAGACATAAATCGCAGAAAAAAAAAAAAAAATCAGTCATTATTTCCATCTTGAGTATTGGCCTGAACGAGTCCCCAGACAGACTCGCCTTCCGCAGACACAAGAAGGGAGGGCACTCACCGACACGTCATCTCAAACTCGACCGAGAAGCTGAAGCCCGGCTTGCTGCTGAACGCCCCGTGGAAGTAGAGGATCAGGTCCTGTCCGGAGGTGAGCTTCCTGCCGGGAGCGAGATCTGTTCCGCAGTACCTGTGGGGAGGACCCGCGTGAGGGGGGGCACCAACGGGGCACGTGGGTAGGGTCACAAGAATAGCATCACCTGGGTATGAGCATTTGGGTATGATCAGATGGGAATGGACACACGGGCATAACCAAGTGAGTTTGCGCTCATCGGTATGATCCCTCTCTCCGTTTTTTCTTTTGGCTAACACTGTCACTGATACTTCTGCTGCTACTACTACTACTAATATTAATAGAACTATGATTGTAAATGTTAAATGTTGTCATTTGTATTGTTGTGAATTATCATTCTTAATGTTATCTTTATCATTGCCACTTTATAGCTGATACTAATATTACTAAAACTATGATTGTAAATGTTAAGTGTTTTCAGTATTAGTATTGTTGTAAATTACCATTCTTAATGTTATTTTTATTATTGCTGCATTATAGCTAGCGTTAGCATGATTGTAAATACTGCAATTATTATCATCGTCATCATCATTGTCATTACCATTACCATCGTTCTCATTATCTTTATTATTATCAATCTCATCATTAGTATTGCAAGTGTGGTGCTCAATATCACCATCACTGCATTGTCACTATTGCGCCTTTCCCTAATATAATCCCACCCATCTCCACCATCGCCACTGAAATGAACACCACCACTTAGCTCCGTCTTGCCCCGCTTCTCCTTCACAACTGGCTCCTCCAATAACTTACTCGTCGCCGGAGTAGAGAGAATCCGTCCTGACCTCGAGTCGATCCCACGCACAGTGGTTGTTGGCGGCCCTCCCGAAGAGTGAGAAGTCGTTCACTGTGACGACGGGGTACTGGCACTGGTCCGGGGCGCGGATCCACCACACGCAGCTCGTCCCTGGATGGTCAGTGGGCGGCGTCGAAGGAATTGGCTTCATTCATTGCAATTTGTGGCTCTTTCTATCACTGACTCCCTGTCTCTCGGTCCCTTTCCCTGTTTTTGTCTGTCTGTTCTCTCTCTCTCTCTCTCTCTCTCTCTCTCTCTCTCTCTCTCTCTCTCTCTCTCTCTCTCTCTCTCTCTCTCTCTCTCTCAATCCCCCCCCCCTCTCTCTCTCTCTGGACATGTATACAGGTAGGTTTACCTGTGTGTGTCATGCATTCATGTAATCCTTCACAGAAACTTGTACTTATATGTGCCTATGTCTACACGACTACTGAAGACGTGCAATATACATCACACAAAGTCATAATTCTTCGTGTAAATAAAGGAATTTACCTTTGGGGAATTTATAAGGGTGATTTGGGGTTTTGATGGTCGTAGCCTTAGTGATGTTCCCACCGCATACTGGCGTC